GCCTGGTATGAGGGATTGAAGGGCAGGAGCAGGGAGCATTGAATGGGGGTGGAGGGGATTGGGAAATTCTCCCCAGGAAAGGCATCAGAGTGAAACTTCGAAAGATGAATTAGAAGTTGACTAGGTTTCAGTTACAAAGACAGTCTAAGAACTAGAATCCTTTTCTATCCCCATTTGGGTGCTCTTGGGCCATCCACCCAATCTCTCAACTGTCAGGTTCTTTATTGTAAAATGAAGTTAAGAGGTATGTGGTGAGGGTTACCAGTAGAAAGAAGTGGTTCTAATGTCTGGTGGGAGCTGTGCCCCCTTTCCCCAGGGAAAAATGTACGCACAACCCCAGGCCCCAGTCTGTATGAAGGGGGCCCAGGGGGAACTGCTGCTGTGAAGTGTACCAGCCCTGTCCCTGGCATAAAGCAGTTCAGTCCTCTCTTGCCTCCCCTCCTGGGGGGACCTTTCACACAAATGTTGCAGCCTCCTGGTGTGCAGGAGACAAGGCACTGCTGCTGGTGTCCCAGGGCCCTTGGTCTCTGCCAATAGCAGCTGTGGTGAAGTCACAGGGATTGCAGCAGGATCACCAAGCTCTGCGAGAATGTCTGGTCTGGTGCCCCTACCCCTTCATCCAAAAAGTGAGGAAACAGGTTGGGGGGCAGCTCCGCCCCTCACAGGAGTGGTCAGGGCACCTGGGGTTTCATCCCACCTCCGTGGGCACTTGTCCAGGAGCCTGATCTCTGATCTATAAAGCTGAGTGGCCACGCCTTGGAGGCAGAGGATGGGAGCAGGAATGTGATGGCAAAACCCAAGTCCTTACCTTCCCAGTCTAGACCTGACTCGTCCGCAGTGGCTGGGGACACAGCTCAGTGATAGAACAAGTGCTTAGCTCATGCTTAGTGTGCTTAGCACACAGGTTCAATACCCAGCACCAAAACAAAACAAACACACCGAGCAGTCAGGAGTCTGTAGAAAGGACTGATTTCTGCCACTGTTGACGATATGCAGATAGTGGGCCCAGCATTCCCTTTTCAGAAGGTGCCTCCCTGCCTCTGATTATGCATAACAGACTGGGCAGTGCCTAAAACCCTCCGTGTTTTTTTTTTGTTTTGTTTTCTTTTGTTTTGTTTGAGACAGGGTCTGGCTATGTAGTTCAGGCTGGCCTCAAATTCATGGCAGTCCTCCTGCCTCAGCCTCCCAGCATGCTGTGATTACAAGCATGCACCACCATACTGTACTCCATTTTATAGAGACAACTCAGATTTTGGGAACAAAGGCCATTGCTAGGTTCTGTCTTCACCGTAGCAGAGAGCTGTCTGTACCCATTGTCCAGGTCTGTCACCAGTCCAGCCCTAGCCTCCTCAGTGTCTCCTCTTCAGTTCCCTTTTATTCTCTGCTCCCTGGATTTGGCCAGACTCATGGGGGCCCTCTGGAGGTGGGCTGTGCAGGCTGCCTCAGCCTCCCTAGATTGTGGTCTGCCTTTTGGCCAGTTCACTATCTTTTTTTTTTCCCCAGTGCTGGAACTCTAACCCAGGGGTGCTCTCCCACTGAGCTGCAAACCCAGGCTCCCTCCCCTGCATCATGTTTTTTTTTTGTTTGTTTGGTACTGGGGATTGAACTCGGGTCCTTTTGCTTGAGAGGCAGGCGGTAGAACCACTAAATCCCCAGCCCATTATGTTTTGATTTTTGTTTTCTTTGAGACAGAGTCTCCCTATGTAATCTAGGCTAGCCTTGAACTTGCTGTATAACCCAAGCTGTCCTTGAACTTGCCAGTGCTCCGGCCTCAGTTTCTTGGATGCTGGAATTACATGTGTGCACTGTTGTGTCTGGCAAGATGCTATCTCAGTCTCATTCTCTTTTTTTTTTTTTTTTTTTTTTTGAGACAGGATCTCACTATGTCGTTCAGGCTAACTTGGAACTCACTATAACAGCGATCCTCCTGTGTCAGCCTCCTGAGCACTGGGGTCATAGGCATGCGCCACTATGCTCGGCTCATTGCTAGCTTTCTTGTCAGCTAAGAGGCTAGGGACCCTCCAGAGGAAGTAGAAGCAATTTTTATAATACTCAGGGACACCAGCTGTAGTACCTGGCCATCTTTTTATTTTATTTTAGGTACCAGGGATTGAATTTAGGACCTTGGGCTTGTGAGGAAGGTGGCAGAACCACTGAGCTAAATCCCCAGCTGGCACCTGACCATCTTGTGTTCAGATCTTGGCTTTCTATTCCAGTACTTAGTTTCCTCACCTATAAAGTGGGATCATTATAGCCAAATGGTAGTGAGATGACTCAGAATGTTAGCCAATCACATAACACTGAGGAGGTACTGACTGAGCTGGTTCTGACCGACAGTAGCAGTTGTTGTTGTTACTGCCCCATGATACCAACCACCTCAGCCCTTATTTCTCCTTCCCACAGGTCAGCCCAGCATCAGCAGCAATGTGCTGGCATAATTCTGTTTCCTGCTTTTATACTCAGTATCTTGTGCTGAGTAGTACTTTTCCATGCTACTCAGTGGTGGCGAACCTGTGGCAGGTATGCTGCAACTGTTTATTTATTACTGAAACCCCAAAGGGTTCACAGACAGCGAGCTTTCAGTGAGAACAAACAGCCAGCCACCTTTGGCCCGCGTGCCATAGGTTCACCACCACTGGTCTGGACTCTTTCCGGGGTAGTTACCAGTTGTTCTGATAAGCAGTTTGCCTTGGGCACAGCTATTTGCCTCCCAGGGAAGCCTGGTATACCCCAGCCCTAATCTATCTGACTGCTTACTTTGCTGTCTTTTCTCAGGTGACTCCCAGGCCTCAGGCTTAAGGAAGACATCTAGCAACCTGGATTTCTGGGCCTTGCCTCTCCTCTCTGTCCCCCAGATTATCCATCTCACTAAATGGAGCTCACCATCCTCCTAGTTAGTTAAATTCACTCTTGGCAGTCTTTGTGTTTGGCCAAGCCCCTAGGCCTCCTGGAAAGGCCTACCCAAAAGCCTCTTAATTTTTTTAGGGTGAAGAAGTCACCTTTTTTTATTTGTTTTGTTTGTTATTTTTTGAGACAGTGTCTCACTATGTAGTTGAGACTGACCTGGAACTCACTATGTAGCCTAGGCTGGTCTCAACTCACAGTGATCCTCCTGCCTCAGCCTTCTGAGTGCTGGGATTACAGGCGTGCACCACCACACCCGGTTAGTCACCTCTTTTTTGAGACTGAGTCTCACAGTATAGCTCTGCCTGGCCTCCAACTCATGATCCTCCTGCCTCAACCTCTCTTGTGTTGTGATAACAGGTGCACACCATCATGCCCAGCTGTCTTTTTTGGTGCTGGGGATTGAACCCAGGGCCTCGTGCATGTTAAATGTGTGCTCTGTCACTGAGCTACGCCCCATACAAGTTTTTTTTGCCTGTTTTTTTGGTGATGCTGAATATTGAATCCAGGGCCTCACACTGAGCTGTATTTCCAGTGCTTTTTTTTTTTTTTGACAGTCTCACTGTGTAGTTTTGGCTGGCCTCAAATTCATGGCTGTCCTCCAGCCTCAGCCTCCCAAGTGCTGGGTGACCTTTCCTCTCCTTCCTTTATTCCCCCATACTAATCCCACCAGCAAAACAAGTTTTTCTGCTAAGTAGGTCTTTTTCTCTTGCCCCAGGCTTAATCGGCCTACTGTCACTTGGTTGCCTACAGTAGCCTTCTAACTCACTATGTAGTCTGTGCTGGCCTCCAGCTGGCAGCAGTCCTGCCTCAGCCTCCCAAATGCTAGGGTTACAGGTTCCCTAATCTTTTTACTGTGAGACAAGATCTTAATAATCTGGGCTGGAATTTATAGTCCTACTGCCTTAGCCTACATATTATCATTTGTAATGTTTTTCCTTTTCTATAGAATATAAGCTCCATGATTATAAGGAGTTAGTCTTCTCTTGCTATACCTCCTGGCTGCACCACCATGCCCAGACCCCATGTAGTCTTGATAACAGCCCTGAGAAGCAGTTTTCACTGCTTCCCTTTTCACAGAAGAAGATGCAGCTCAGTGGTTAAAATCTCTGGCCAACCATGATCATAAGAGCAGATGTAAAGCTGGCTAGGGTGGCGCACACCTATAATCCTAGCATTCTAGAGGCTGAGGTAAGAGGATGGCTGTGAGTTCAAGGCCACCTGGACTGTATATACAGGGAGATCCTGTATCACACACAGAACAAAACAGCAGAAGCGAGAAAGCCACATTTTGAGAGGTGAATGTAGTTGTTGCCAATCCCAGAGTGCATAGATTTTTAGTGTGGGAAGAAAGCGTCTCAAAGAGGCGTGTTGGAAGAGAGGCCTTCCATTCCAGGGAATAGAAGTTGGGTGATGTTAAGAACTGCTGCCTCATTAGAATCGGAACTGGGCCAGTGGGTGCCTCACGGCAGTGTTTTGGGCAGTGGTGACTTCCCTGCCTTCAGTAACCTTGTTTTCCTCCCCCAGAATAATCAGCAAGAAATGTCATGCCAGGAATTTAGCTCAGTGGTTCTACCGCCCACCTCAAAAGCGCAAGGACCCATGTTCGATCCCTGGTGCCAAAAAAAAAGAACTGCCATGCCTTGTGTCCGTGTCCTATGGGGTGGACAGCTAGAAAGGCTGAGGGAAGGAATGGGCACCTCTGCAGCTGAGACTGGAAAGACTCTTGAGATTCTCATTTCATTATGGCCTTGGGTACTCTTCACCTTCATCTGTAAGATGGAAGACGTCCCAGATTCCCAAATAGGGCTGTGCCCGAGTGTTACCTGGGGCAGGCCTTAAGCACTGTAGTAACACTAGTCTTGGTTTATTAAGGACTTACTATGTGAGGACTTTTATTTATTTATTTAGATTGATTGATTGGAGTGCTGGGGATCAAAGCCCTGCCATGTACACTGCTGGGCAAGCACCCTACTGCTCAGCTGCTCCTCGGGCCGGGAATGAATACTTTACAGTGTTAGCTCCTTTAACCCTACACATCATACAGAGATGTAAGTGCTGTCATCACCCCCCGCCATTTTACTAAGGATGAAACTGATCGGTGGAGACACTGAATAACTGTCCAAAGTAGAGAAGAGTCTGGCCCCAGAGCTGCACTTTGAACCTCTACATGGGGCAAGAGCTTCAAAGGGCCCCACCCCAGCCTTCCCTTCCACTGGTTCACAGTCCAGAGATTGGGAGCTCCAGGCTTGGACAACTTATCTTTCCTGACCTTAAAGTCTAGGAGTCAATAAAGATTTCCAGAGCTGCAGGTGTGGTAGAAAAAAAGACTTTGGGGGCTAGGGGTGTAACTCAGCAGCATAGCACCTGCCTGGCAAGCGCGAGGCCCTGAATTCAATTCCCAGTACCTAAAAAAGAAAAGAGAAAGACTTTGGACATAGTTTGGCCATGAATAGAACGTACAGAGCTGGGGAGAATGCCCGTTCTCAGCATCCTGGAGAACATAGACACCCGCGGCGGAGGGGTGGGCCGAGACTGCAGTCCTGGTTGTTCCTGGGTCCAGCCTGCCTCCTTACTCACAGGTGATTTGTTGTCCCCATTTTGTGTAGCACCTGGCATTTGTGCTTGAGCACGTTTTTATCTCTTGTACTATATAAGAAAGCCTGGTTCTGCTGGGTATGGTAGTGCACGCCTGTACTCCCAGCACTCAGGCTGAGGCAGGAGGAGGGCTGTGATTTCGAGAGCGGCCTGGACTACAGAGCAAGTTCAGAGCCAGCCTGAATTACAAAGGGAGTCCCTGCCTCAAAAAAAAACCAGGCTCTTTACAGGTGTAGCAATTTTCTGTCAAAGGACACAGGTGCTCTGGTTTGATGTTTTTTTCATTTTTGATTTGTTTTGAGACGGTCTCACTGTAGTCCAGGCTGGACTTCAACTCAATATGTTACCCAGGCTGGCCTCAAACTTGGCGCAGACCTCCCAAGTGCTGAGATTACAGGCCTGCACTGCCTACAGGGAATCATGCTTGCCAGGTAGTGCTGTGCCACAAAGCTACATCCCTGGCCCTCAGTTTAAAATGTTCAGTCCCAGCACTCGGGAGGCTGAGGCAGGAGAATCACTGTGAGTTCGAGACCAGCCTGGGCTGCATAGTGAGTTCCAGATCAGTTTCAACTACATATTGAGACCCTGTCTCAAAAAAACAAAAACAAAATAAAATAAAATGTTCAGTCTTAGTCATGCTTGCGATGAAATCTTGCTAATGTCTGCAAGTTTCAAGTTCCTTGGCTCAAGTGAGCCTTGTGCTCAGCTTCTTGAGTAGCTGGGACTTCAGCCATGGATCACAAAGCCCTGCTTGTTCCCTATGAGACATCTTAGATGATACGGGAAAGTACAGAGAAAATAACTAACATTGTTCATAATCCCATTCTCCAGAGGTTACCATTGTTTTGTTTTGTTTTTGAGTCAGGGTCTCAGTAGGTAGTTCAGGCTGGCCTTGAATTCCCATGGATCTACCTGCCTCAGCATCCCTGAGTGCTGGGATTACAGGAATGTGCTATGATGCCCAGCCTAGGTTAGCATTGTTAATATAAATGCCACATATTTCCTGCCATAGTTTTTCTATGCCACACCTATAGGCCTCTTTTATTTATTTGATACTTGGGATTAAATAGAGATACATCCTCAGCCTTTTAATTTGGTGGTCTGGAGATTGAACACAGGGCCTTTGCACTGAGTCATATCCCTAGCCCCCATTCTCCCTTTTTTGGGGTGGTTCTGGGGATCAAACTCAGGACTTTACCCTTGTGAGGCAAGTGACTACGCCACTGAACTAAATCCCCAGCCCATCCCTTTTTAATGTTGAGGCAAGGCCGTGTTAAATTGTCCAGGTTGGGTTTGAACTTATAACCCTCCTGCCTTAGCCTCCCAGAAGTGCCAGGATTACAGGCATCACTACCACACTTTCTTTCCTTTATTTTATTTTGTTTTACTGGGGATCGAACTCAGGATCTTGTGCTTGCAAGGCAGGCACCAAAACCAATCTAAACCCCCAGCCCCTTTCCTTTATTTTTTTAGTGTTAACAGAGAATATTTACAGAGTTTGCTAGGCATGGTGGTACATGCCTGTCATTCTTGCATTCTAATCTGGTAAAGCAGAAGGATTGCAAATTCTAACCCAACCTATATAATTTACCTAAACACTGTCTCAAAAATCAAAAAAGGGCTAGGAAGCCGGGCGTGGTAGCGCATGCCTATAATCCCAGCACTCAGGAGGCTGAGGCAGGAGGATCGCTGTGAGTTCGAGACCAGCCTGGGCTACATAGTGAGTTCCAGATCAGTCTCAACTACATAGTGAGATCCTGTCTCAAAAAAAAAAGAATTTTGTATTGACGCAGGAAAATGTTTGCTATTCTGACATATGTGGCTGGACTTTCAGGACACGAAGATGCCACCTAAGCGCATAGCTAAGAGAACATCACCCTCAGAAGATGCTGCCCCCAGAAGCAAGAAAGTGAAAGGTAAGTTGCCCTTGGCCTCTTCTTTCTGGTTGTGGGTGGCCTCTTGGAGCCCAGGGGTCTGGAACTGGGCCCCTTCCTCCCCTCCACTTGAAAATGAGGGACTTAGATGTCCTGGAACCCCATCCAAGTGGAGAGCAGATGCTCCTCTGAGAGGATTTGAGCAGTGCTGGCACCAGCACCCGTGAGGCTGAAGCAGGAAGATTGCTGTGAGTTCAAGGCCAGCCTGGGTGCATAGTGAGTTCAAACAAGCCCTTGAATTATATAGTAAGACCCTGTCTCAAAACAACCAAAAGCTAGATTCTAGGACTTCATTCTAGGAAGTAGGTATTAGGGTTAACACTGGTTTTGGAGTCAGGTTCAAGTCTTTACTCTGCTACATTCTAGCTGTGTAAGCCTAGGCAAGTCCCATAACCTGGCTGAGCATTCATTACTCACTACATAAAATGGAGATGAAAATAGCACCAACCTCTCTGGGATGTTGTGAGGATTAAATGAGATAATGTTCAGGCTTCATTTGAAAGGGAGTGTCTGTGGTTTTCTCTCCTGTGACCCCAGAGCAGAACAGAGACAGGAGAAAGCCACCCCCACTATGGGAGGAAGGAGTGTGGGCCATGCTCAGACAATGTCTGTCTTTTGCAGACTCTCGTAACCAAGCAGTGAAGCCAACTGCCTCCTGCAGTGGTCCCAGCACCCACTCCTGCCAAGGTGTCTGAGAACCAAGCTCTCCTGACCAGAAAACCCCAGCAGATGGCTTCTGCCTGGTGCACACTCTGCGCAGCTGCAATGGCTATGGCCACACCCCCAGAGAAAGGCTTGGATGCTCTTGGTTGGGCAGGCCTATGGGTGACCCTCACTGGGCAGCACAGGGGCTTTGTAGCCCATTGGTCAGCACAAACATGTCTGAAAATGCTTCTGTGAGAGCGTACTACTGCCCTCTCCTCAGCTGTCGGTGTACTGCCTGATCAGGCACAAGGATTCTGTTTTTCCTCTGATTATGTCTAGGAATTGAAAATCACAGCCTGGGGATTGAGGAGGTTGAGGGTGAAAGCTGGGGAATGCTCTGATCCACTAGTCTCCCTCGGCACTCTGCTAATTAGCTTTATGGGTCTTTGACGGTTATTGAACCTCTCAGAGGCTCTGTTTCCTTTCCTGCAAAACAGGATCCTAAATATGGAACGTATGCTGAGCAAGTTAATATTAGTAAGCAGTCAAAAAGGGTAGACATTGTAATCTGAGCCCTGACTGTTGGCACCATTGCTTCTGCTCCATAACTTACACTAATCAGGAGAAAGATCTTGTATTCTCCCTCCCTACCAATATTCATTTCACAGAACCAAGTCTCCTTGTTTCCATTTCCTCCTAATGACATTAATAATTTTGTGCTCAGGGGTTAACCTTTACAGAAGCCCTCTGAGACAGGTACTTTTGTTACTCTGTTTTACAGATGAGGAAGCTTAACTCTCAGAAAGCTCATACTGATGGCATATGCAGAGCAGGGGCTTGAACCCCAGTCTGCACCATCCAAAAGCCCATGAAGTGATCTCTCTCTCACGATCCTGCACACTCAGGAGCTGTCTTCTCCACCTCTCAGTCTCACACAGGTCTCACCATACGGAAGCAGGGGTGGTGCTGTCGCTGGGCCAGGGAGATGTGGGCCAACTGGGGCTGGGTGACAATGTGATGGAGAGGAAGAAGCCAGCCCTGGTGCCCATTCCAGAAGAGGTGGTTCAGGCTGAGGCTGGGGGCATGCACACCGTGTGTCTCAGCAAAAGTGGCCAGGTAGGTTAGGGGCTTGGTACAGGGCTGGACAGGACCTGGGGTTGGGGAGTTAGGAGCAGTAGCTTTGAGCTACACACATTTTGCTGTGGAAATGGAGTTGGCCAGCCAAGCAGGGAGTGGCCTAAAGAAGAGAGGACTGGAGGCTAGGCCTTGCAGTAATGGGGACATCCTGGGCACAGATCTACTCCTTTGGCTGCAATGATGAAGGTGCCCTGGGAAGGGACACATCAGTGGAAGGCTCAGAGATGGTCCCCGGAAAAGTGGAACTGCAAGAGAAGGTGGTACAAGTGTCAGCGGGAGACAGTCACACAGCAGCCCTCACGGAGGATGGCCGTGTCTTTCTTTGGGGCTCCTTTCGGGTAAGACTGGGTCTGGATGGAAGAGTGCAGTTAACCTGGGGGGGCCCCATAATCACTTCCCTGCCCCCACTGTGCTTTCTTACTGATGGGAAAATAAAGGGCCACAGGCAGAGCTGGAGCCCAGATCCAAGTCTCTGGCTTCTTCATGTGGATCTGTCCACACCACTGGTTGTTTCCTTGAATCTGACACATTTGGGTTGGTACTGACCTAGGAAGCTACTGCTTTAATCCACATCCCTGCCTCAGCCTCTCCTTCCCCTTCCCAGCCCTCTTCCACATTTCACAGAGGCTGTATGAGAGGAAGCCATGGGGATGGAATTGTCATGGCTAAGTGTTTGTAAGGCATGGAGAGCATACTTTGTGAGGGTTTGTTTTTCTTTTTTTGTGCCACGCATCGAACTCAAGACCTTGAGCTTGTGAGGCAGGTGCGGTGCAGCTGAGCTAAATTCCAGCCCACAGAGAGTGTGCTTTATAAAACAAGGGTCAAACCCGGCGTGGTGGCACACTCTATAATCCCAGCACTCGGGAGGCTGAGGCAGAAGGATCGTTGTGAGTTCGAGACCAGCCTGGTCTACATAGTGAGTTCCAGGTCAGTCTCAACTACATAGTGAGACCCTGTCTCAAGAAACAAACTAAATAAATAAATAAATAAAAAACAAGGGTCGGGGATTTAACTCAGCAGCACCACACCTGCCTTGCAAGTGCAAGTTCCTAAAAAAAAAAAGTTTCAGCATTAAAATTCTTTAGTATTTTTATATTTACTTGGAAATATAAAAATTAAGCAGTCTGAGGTGAACATGGTGGTGTGGTACACATCTGTCATCCCAGCACTTGGAAGCTGAGGTGGGATTGCTGCAAGTTTGAAGCTAGTCTGGACTACAAGGTAAGACCCTGTCTTGTGTCAGGGATTTAGCTCAGTAGTTTTGCTGCCTGACCTGCAAGCGAGGTCCTGAGTTTGATCCCCAGTACCCCCGCCCCAAAGAAAAAAGAAAAACCGGAAATGAGATCCAGTTGTGGTGGCATACATCTGTGATCTCAGCACTGAGACGGGAGGATTGTCATGAGTTGGAGGCCAACCTGGGCTGCATAGTGAGTTCAAGGCCAGCCTGAGCTAATAGTGACCTTGTCCAAAAAAAAAAAAAAAAAAAAGAAGAAGGGCCGTCAGTGTAGCTCAGCAGTGGTTCTGTGCCTGCCTGGAAATTGTAAGATTCTGAATTCAATTCCTGGTAGGTGGGGGGAGGGGAAAGGGAAGGAAAGGAAACAACCAGATTGGCTCTTTCCTCATCAAACCTATTTGAAAATTTTTAATTTTTATGGAGCATTTCCTAACATAAAAGTAATCGGAATAGTATATTGAACCTCCATCTATATCTTAAACAGTTTCAGTTATTATCAACTTTTACCCATACTTATCTCTATTGACTCACATCTACTTCTCTGTTTTTGGGGTATTTTAATGCAAACCCCAGAACACATATGGTTTCATTCATAAGGATTTCAGAATGAGGTCTGGCTCTGGTGTGCATCTTCATCTCTGTCTGCTGCCATTCATTGCCCTGCACCACATAGCTCTGTGGCCTCCTGCAAGCCTGGGCTTGGCTGGTACAACTGCTGATAAGTGCTCTCTCCCTCCCTTCTAGGATAATAACGGTGTTATTGGGCTGTTGGAGCCCATGAAGAAGAGTATGGTGCCTGTGCCAGTGGAGCTGGATGTGCCCGTGGTGAAGGTAGCCTCAGGTTAGTCTGGGGGTCCCCACTGTGGGGAGGAGCTGTAGAATCTTGTTCTGGGCTCGCTCAGCCTCTGCCTTGCAGACAAGCCCTGAATCATCTGCCTTCCTCTTACTTTCAGGAAACGACCACTTGGTGATGTTGACAGTTGATGGTGATCTCTACACCTTGGGTTGTGGGGAGCAGGGCCAGCTTGGGCGTGTTCCTGAGTTATTCGCCAACCGTGGTGGGCGGAAGGGCCTTGGTAAGTGGCTTTGGTACCTCCAGTGGGGCAGTTTGTTAAGTGACCCCCTGGTAGAGGCCAAAGGCAGGATGGATTCTGTGTTCTGGCTTGCGTCAAAGGAACTTGAAGTGTTGTTTAAGAACTCAGGCTTTAAGCCCAGTGTGGTGGCATATGCCTGTAATACCAGCACTTAGAAGGCTGAGGCAGGAGGATTGCTGCAAATTCAAGACAGCCTAGACTTTATAATGAGTTTAAAGCTAGCCTGCACTATGTAAAGACCCTGTCAAAAAAAAAAAAAAGAAAAAACTACTCAGCCTTTGGAGACCGACTACCTGGGTTTGAATCTTATTCTGGTGCTTCCTGGTTCTAGGGCCCTAGATATAGTTTCCTTCTCTCTTGATCTACCTACCTCTAATTCTACTTTGGAGTGTTATAAAGATAAATGAGCTAATTAGAAGTGTTTAGGGCTGAGGATTTGCACAGTGGCACCACACCTGCCTCACAAGCGCAAGGTCCTGAGTTCAATCCCTGATACCAAAAAAAGTGTCTGGTATGTGATAAGTTCCACCTAAATATTACCTATAAATGAGAATCTGAGCAAAGTATTTGTAATTTTTGGCCCCAAATTTTCTCTTCTGTAAAATAGGGTTAAAAATCCAAGCTTAGCTTCCTTCTCAGGGCTTTTGTGATGGCAGGGAAACAAATTCGGTGTCAGAACACTTGTCTGCCTACAGAACGACTCCTTGTCCCCAAGTGTGTGATGCTGAAATCCAGGGGAAGCCGAGGCTATGTGAGGTTCCAGGATGCCTTCTGTGGTGCCTATTTCACTTTTGCCATCTCCCGAGAGGGCCACGTATATGGCTTTGGCCTCTCCAACTACCATCAGCTTGGTAAGTCCTGAGCCCAGCATAGGCATGACCTGGTGACATCTGGGGTCTAATCTTGTCCCCACCACTTGTTCGTTGTGCACCCTTTATGGGCTCACCTTGTCCCTCAGAGCTAAAGTTGTCTCATCTATAAAGTGAGGCTATCCCTATCATGGTGAGGGGGGCCTTGCTGTGGAAAGGCATGAAGAAGGGCAGCTCCTAGAACACCTTCACCCTGACAACAGGAACACCAGGCACAGAATCATGCTTCGTACCCCAGAACTTAACATCCTTCAAGAATTCCACCAAGTCCTGGGTAGGCTTCTCTGGTGGCCAGCACCATACAGTCTGCATGGATTCAGAAGGTAGGACCCCGCCCTTCTCTGCACTGGAGGCTGTGCTCCCTGGGTGTGGACCTGGGCCTGCCCAGACTCCTGGAACCTGAGCCTGTTCTGTGGGTTGAGCCAGATGTGGGTCCGCCCCTAGCCCCCAGTGTCCCAGTGCTGCCCAGGTAAGCTCACCGGGGACTAGCGTGTAGGTTCTCATAGGTCTCCTAAGGTGAGAAGAAGCATTGCGTTCCTCCTTCCTATCACCCTGGGAGGAGGGACAGGCTCCCAAGGACATAAGGACTCACCTGGGCTGCCACCCACTCTGCCTGGGGCACGCCTCTGCTACTGCTCATCTCTCCCGCTCCTCTCACAGGAAAAGCATACAGCCTGGGCCGGGCTGAGTATGGGCGCCTGGGCCTTGGCGAGGGTGCCGAAGAGAGGAGCATCCCCACCCTCATCTCCAGACTACCCTGTGTCTCCTCAGTGGCCTGTGGGGCCTCTGTCGGGTATGCCGTGACCCAGGATGGTGAGTGGGGCTGCCCACACCTGCTTCGGGTGGGGCCTGGGGATCCTGAGTCCTAGCAGACTCCCGGAAGGCTGTAACATCGCCTTCAGACAGAGCTGAGGTCCATCAGCATGTTGTGACGTACTGCTTTGCTCCTGCCTCTCAGAAGCTCCAGCCTTGGTAGACATACATGAGTAGACATTACTTTAATAGAGGTCATTTGTTCTGCAGAGAAGGAAAAAACTGAAGGGGGATATAGCACTGAGGCCAGGGGCAGTGGGACTTGAATCTGGATCTCCAGACTCCTAACTCAGGCTCCTTTTTACCAGCTTCCCAAGGAATTGTACCTAGAATCTTAGGGAAAGGACGCTTCAGTAGTCAGGTCCTGGCTAGCACGGCAGAGGAAGCTGTGAGCAGATGGCTGCCAAAGCCTGAGTGGGTGAGGGGCACAGCCATGGAGATCTGTTGGAAGTTAGGCTGGCAGAAGTTCTTGATACGAGGTTGTTTGAGAAGACTTCCTGAGGAAGTGGGGCTTGCACTGCACCTTGAAGTTTCGGTCCTTTATAGACAGACAGCACAGGATGGTGTCCCAGGCAGAGGAACATCCAGCAATCTCAAAGGTGACTGGCCCTGAAATTTGGAGGGTTGGGCAGGAGCTGGGGGGAGCAGCCAGTCGTGTAGGGCCTTAAATGCCATGGCTAGGAACAGAAGAAATCTTCAGCAGTTTTTTGGCAGAAGCCATCTCCTTGGCTTCTCTCAACTTACTTGAACTCTGGAGCTGGTATCTCGCCAAGCTGCTGTTGGCCAAGGCAAAAATTTATCAATGACCCCAGCTTCTGATGCCTTGGAAAGATGGGGCTAGGGATCCTGGAGACAGCCGCCTCCATTTCTATCTCTTGCAGGCCGTGTTTTTTCCTGGGGCATGGGCACCAACTACCAGCTGGGCACAGGGCAGGACGACGATGCATGGAGCCCTGTGGAAATGACTGGCAAACAGCTAGAGAACCGTGTGGTCTTATCTGTGTCCAGCGGAGGCCAGCACACAGTCTTACTAGTCAAGGACAAGGAACAGAGCTGATGAAGCCTGTGAGGGCCTGGCCCCCACCTTCCCTCACTGAACAGGGGAGCACACAGCTCCAGATTCCAGCACCCTCTCCCCGCCTCTCCTGAACACTGTGTCATCTCCTGCCTTTTTCCCATCAACAGAGCAGAATCATTCTCTTTTTCATCCTTCTTTCTGGAATCATCCTGCTACCTGCAGGATGAAGCGGGGAGCGGAGGGGTTGTCAGAAGGAACATCGCTTACCCTCACCACAGACCTGTGTGGTTGGACCTTTTTCCCGCTTCCCTGCCTTCCGTGCCGGCTGACTCTGACTGCATTCCATAGTACCGGGATGCCCTCCCTTGGGAGTTTGGCGCCTGCACTTTGAGAAGTTGGGGTTCCACCACTCTGGTCACTCTTCCTGTCCTAACAGGCCCCAGGCAGACAGATGGTTACAGTATTAGACCCAGCTGTCATGGACCAAGGCCTGGGGCAGCTGGAGAGGGGGCAGGGCTACAGAGCTGTGGGCAACCTCAAGCCAAATATTTGGCTCTGAACAGGTGTTTAGGGGGCAAAAGACAGTGATTCACTTGATGAAGAAAAAAGCCAACTACTACTGTATCTGTTCTCCCAAAGCACCACCAGTGTCGCTTGTATGGTCGCCATCCATTGGGCCTCACCTGCAGCCAAAAACCCCAAAGCCCCACTGGGTTGGCAGGGTAGGGTATGGGCAGAGAGAGGATGGAGGTTTTATACACAAATGTACAGCAAAATTAAACGGGAGGGAGGGGAGAGGCTGGTCCCGTGAAAAGCAGCAATCTACAGTGGCTGAGACAATATTTTTAATTTTTTTAAATTATAAAGTATTTTGGAGGGGAAAGTGAGACCTTTTAACACATTGAATAAAACTAGAGTTTTATAAAATAAATCACTTATTTTTCTACACACTTCCTGTTTTTTCAAGGCAGCATCCTGCCATGTGCCAACCATTGTTGGGAAGAGCAAAGTAAGCCCATGCCCCTGAACCCGCTGTCACCTACAGCTTGAAGGATGTCCCCAGGTGCCTGTGAATGCCCCCAAGGCTCTTCAAAGCCATCAAAAAGGAAAAATTAGTTTCAAGTGCTTATGCTTCAGGAATCACTGGATTAAAAAAGAAGATGGTGAAGTAATATGAGAGAAATGGGATGGGTCTTTCAATTTTCTAAACCAAGATTTTTTAGTCTATTACATCTTTAGAAATGCTTACTGAACTACCTATCCATACTTTCAACAGCAGATGTATTTATTTAAACATTAATCACAAGGCTGGGGGTGCAGCTCAGGGATAGAATACTTGCCTAACATCCAATCCCCAGCACCAAAAATAAACAGTTATATGACGTCTTAATGTAGTTTATGCACATCATAGACTTTCATAAGCATTGAGCAAATAAATCAGGGCTGATGTGCCCAGTATAGTAGTCACCACCTACATGTGGCTATTTATATTTAAATCAATTTTAAAATTTGTTAAGCTTTCAGTTGTACCAACTACATTTCAAGTGCTTGATAATGTATGACGTGCCTGTGGTATTAGACCATGCAAATACCGAATATTTCCATCACTGCAGAAAGTTCTTTATATATATATTGCCTGAGGCTGGGCGTTGTGGTGCATGCCTGTAATTCTTGTACGTGGGAGGCTGAGGCAGGAAAATTGGGCCAGCTGGGGCTACATACTGAAAACCTGTCTCAAGGGTGTATAGGGTCAGGATTTAGCTCAGTGGTGCTGCTGCCTGCCTTGCAAGTACAAGATCCTGAGTTTGATCCCCAATACCAACAAAAGAAAAGGTGTGTAGCTGTGGACTGGGGGTAGAACTCAATGCTCAATGCTTCCTCTGTGGTGTGGTGGAAGGCATCTGTGTGTAACAGAGTTAGTGGGAACAGCAGGATTCTTGAATGTGAGATGTTAGTGATATTAAAAAATTATATTTTTCCTTTAGATTTTAGGGTTTTTTTTTTATTATTTGTTTTGGGCTTTTTGAGACAGGCTCTTGCTATGAATATACTATAGGCTGGCCTTGAACTCACAGTGATCCTCCTGCCTCAGCCTCCTGAGCACTGGGATAACAGGCATGTGCCCACCACGCCCGGCCGAGATTTTAGTTTTTTTGGTTTGGAGTTTGGGGTTTTTTGTTTTGTTTTGTTTTGTTTTGTTTTTTGTTTTTTGAGACAGGGTCTCACTATGTAGTTGAGACTGATCTGGAAATCACTATGTAGCCCAGGCTGATCTCGAACTCAGAGTGATCCTCCTGCCTGAGCCTCCCAAGTGCTGGGATTACAGGCATGCGCCAACACACCCAGCTTGAGATTTTAGTTTTGATGTAGGCACTTTTTTAAAAATGTTTGTGTGGGGCTGGAGATTTACCTCAGTGGTTCCACCGCCTCCCTTGCAAAGGCACAAGTACCTGAGTTTGATCCCCAGGACAAAAAAAAAAAGTCTTTGTGAAAGCATTGAGTGTCTGCTACTACTCCTTCCTCCTCCCAAAGAAAGTCTACTTAAACTATATCTACTGTAATTTTTTAGTTCCAGGAAACAAACCCACAGGCCAGGCAAGTGTTCTACCACTGAGCTACTCCCTAGCCTCAGGGTCCACCTAGCTAAGTGTGGTGGCCTACATCTGTAATCCCAGCACTCAGGAGGTTGACACACAACTGCCACAAGTTGAGGCCAGCCTGGGCTACCCAGCGAAAACCTGTCTCAGAAAACCAAAAATTGAGCATGGTGGTACAGGCCTATAATCCCAGCATTCAGGAAGCTGAAGCAGGAGGATCAATGTGAATTCAAGGCCAACATACACTATGTGGTGAGATCCTGTCTCAAAAATAAAACCCGTTTCTGTGTATTAGGACTTAAAAGGGGCGGCCACTTACCAGGTAGTAGCTCACTGATCTTCAGAGCCCTTTAGTGTAGGAATTACTGTTCCTCAGGAAACAGTCCCTGAGAGTTGGAGTGACTTGTTTGAGGTCCAGAAGCTACCAAGTCCCCCAAGTAGGGTAGACACTAGCCTCCACCTAATCTAGGAACCTGTCTTTCTCTTTTTTTTTTTTTTTTTTTTTTTTTGGTACCAGTGATCGAACTTAGGACCTTGTGCTTGCAAGGCAGGCGGCAGCACCACTGAGTTAAATCCCTGGCCCTCTTCCTCATTTTTTTGTGTGAGTTGTAAAGCTCTCTAGGTGCTTAACTTAGCATGGAACCAAGCTACAGCAGATGCTGTACAGGTCTCTCCTGTTACGATTATTGTACATTTTTAAAATTTTCTGTGGTTAATGTGGTTTTTTTGGTTTGTTTTTGATGGTGCTAGGTATCAAGCCAAAGCCCTCACACATGCTAGATAAGCACTCTGCTGCTGAACTACACTAGCCCTACTCTGTGTGTGTGTGTGTGTTTTGTTTTTGTAGTACTGGTGATTGAATCCAGAACCTTCATACTGAGCTACACTCCAGCCCCCCTTTTTTGTGGGTTTTTTTTGCGGGTTGGGGAGTTTTGAGACATGGTCCCCCCATGTAGTTTAGGCTTTCCTTGAAGCCCCTAGTGCAGGGTTTGTAGGCATGGGCTACCATGCCCAACACCTTCCTTTTTTGTTGTTGTTGTTGAGGTAGTTTCTCCTTGAATTGCCCAGCTGGTCTAAAATTGCAATCCTCCTGCCTTGGACTCCCAGGGTTCTGGGATTACAGGTGTGTACCACCTGCCTAAGAAAAGATTTGAAAATAGTTTGCTTTGGGGTACATTCTAAACTTGGGATGTGGAGACTGGGAGGGAAGGGCTTTAGGGTCCACTCGGGCATTTGAGTGGACATGACCACCAGAAATGCCGACTCCCAGGCACAGAAGCTTTCCTTTCTGGAGTAGGTACCAATTGACTTCAGGCTTGGGACACTCATAGCCTAGAAATTAAAGCTGGGCATGGTGCCACACGCATGTAATCCCAGTATTGGGGAGGCTGAGGCAGGAGGGTTGCCAGGAGTTCGAGACCAGTCTGGGCTACACAGTGAGTTAAGGGCCAGCCTGAATTACAAAGGGAGACCCCTGAAAAAACAAAAAAACTGGGCATGGTGGAGAACATCTGTTATTCCAAGTTACTGGGAGGTTGGGCAGGAAGATTAAATTCAAGCTCAGCCTGTAAAATTTGGTGACAGCAAGAGCCTATTTTAAAAAGGTGGTGGTGGGGCCAAGTTTTTAGCTCAGTGGCACTGCGCCTGCCTCGAAAGGGCAAGGTCCTGAGTTCCAATTTCCAGTATCAAAGGAAAAAAAAAAAAAAGTGGTGTTGGGGCGGGATGGGGATTGAAAGAGTCATGTCAGTGTAAAAGCCCTGGGTTTGATCCCTAGAATGGGGAGGAGGTGTGAACCTATTAGGATTATCTACTTGTCCAACCTGTTGTTTATTGAGGCTCTTCCATGGGTAGGTCACTGTTCTGGGACAGATGAGAGTCCGTGGCATTTCAGAATTTGATAGCGAGATTCACGAAAGCAGGAAAGGACCTGGGTATTGACCGTTTGAAATGACATCCCAATTTACACTCCCTTTTGTCCTCCCCCTCCACCCCAGGGTTACACAAGAGATGGAAAATTCCCATTCCGGCTTCAGCAAGAATCTCATATGTTTTTGCGAGCTGGAATATGTAAAGTTTTTATTGATTATGTTTTCAATATTTTACAGCGAGGATACATTACTTTTGTGGTTATGTATATATGTATGTAGTTCCGTGTGTGACTTGTCACCTACACAAAGCCAGAAGCCACCCGGGCTCCCCCACCCCCCGACGCCGGCCTGAGCCCAGCTCAATCGCGATCCGGAAGCTGGGCGCGCAGTGGGGGACTCGGGAAAATCCGGAACGGAACACCTTACAGCACGGGCCGCGGACTTTCGGCGCGTGCGCAGAAGGCGTCCCAGGCGCTAACTCCGGGGCGGTCCTTACAACGCGGACTGGAGCCCGCGCGCGCCTCTCAGGCCCGCAAAGTCCGCGCCCGGCTGCGGGATGGCAGCCAGCCTGTGGATGGGAGACGTAAGTGAGGGCGGGCGCCGGGACTCTGAAGAGAAGGAATCGCAGTTTCGCGAGGGAGGAAGGGGTCTGAGGGCAGGGGACTTGGAATCCCAGAGGGCTGGAAGTGAACGGAAGGAGCGGGTCCCAGCCTCGTTAGCGCGAAGGGGCTGAGTCTGCCTGGGGGGGTCCTGGGGTGGGGACCTGGGTACGTGGAAGGGTGCAGGGAGGCACCCCAGGATTGGAGGCGCTGTGGTTCTGGAGCGGGGCGTGGGGTTCCAAGGTCCTGGGGGATCCCTGGGAGGTGCAGGTTCCAAGAGGGGTTGGAGCTCACGCCCTTCGCGCGGCCCCCTCGGCG